GATATCCACACGGACATGGGCACAGTGCTGAACGCATGGTCAACTTCATATCACCCAATCCCCTCTCAGTTACGACTATGTTTTAAATTGTTTGGTATCTTCCTTGCCTGTACGAGCATTTTCATCAACTTTCTTGGCGTTTCTCAACGGATGCATCCACAACAACCGATGACACTAACCTCTTGGAAATTACTAGTATTGCTTTTGTGCTTGCTCCTATAAATGCTAGCACTAGCAAATGCTAGGGATTTCGAAGTGATCCCAAACATGGCAATGAAACAAGACAGGATACATATACAGTCATTCGCCTAATCATGTTAACACATGACGACACGTCTTTTGAGAAAGCCTAGAATTTGTATTGTGCTTGTTATATCCGAACTAGCACTAGCAAATGCTAGGGTTCCTCAGGGGAACATCGCCAATGACCAACATCAAGAAACAAGACCAAAATATATTTTCAAGTTGAGTATATTTCCTTCCCTTGTGTATTTAGTAATGTGTCCACCACTCCACTCCTATGGAGACTGCTAGTATTTGCATTGTGCTTGCTTTCTCATTTGCTAGCACTAGCTTATGCTAGGGGTTGACAAGGAATATCCACACGGACATGGGCACAGTGCTAAACACATGGTCAACTTCAAAACACCTAATTTTGTCTATGTTTTAAAAATGTTTGGTATCTTCCTCCCTTACATTTTTTCTTCATCTTCCTTGGCGTTTCTCAAGCTGTTCTCAACGGATGCACCCACAACAACCAATGACACTAATCTCTTGGAAATTACTAGTATTGCTTTTGTGCTTGCTCCTATAAATGCTAGCACTAGCAAATGCTAGGAATCCCAGAAGTTATTGAGAAAGTTGTTTCGGTGAATATCTCATACATGTATATAACCTATAGAAGTGTTACTTAAATGAATATGTTGAGATATGGTTTTTCTTTTAGTCTAAGTGTTATTTCAGTACTTTGTGAGACCTCCTTGCCCTGCAATACACGACTGAATCCACCTTGGGTATACTGCAGATCAAAGTTTGTTGGAAATTGTGTGGCAGCGTATCCAAATATTCAACCACTTCTTTCTTCATATGATCAATATTTCTAAGTCCCTTTTTGTTTATTCTGCCCTTCATTAGTCGTCACACATTCTCAATTGGGTTGAAATTTGGGCTGTAGCTGGGCCAGTCTAAAACTTGAACATTTTCATCCATCAACCACTGTTTTGTGTAGCCTGCAGTGTGTTTTGTGTCGTTATCATGGTGTAAAATCCAATTATCTTCATACGGTGTTGGGGCCGTTGGAAGGAGGAGATCATTTAAGATGTCAGGATATCGTTCATTCGTCAAATTTCCAGAGAAAATACACAACAGTGTCACTCCACATGATATCCCACCCCATATGTGAAATTTTGGGCTATGTTTTGGGCATTGGTAGGTAGGTTTCACGGTATCTTTAGTCCAAATTTTCACAGAGTTCGTAAAAAAGCCAGACAGAACCTTTCATCAGAAAAGAAAACAATATCCCAATCTTGATTTTCGTGAGCCCTACACCAGTTTAAACGTCTTTCCTTTTGTGCATCTTTCATCAATGGTGAGGGATTCCACGCCTTTTCACCCAGTTAAGTCTGTGTAATTTTTGTCTGAGGGTTTCATTACATACCTGAGGACTTCCTCTATTAATCATCTCATTTCTGATATTCTCAATGCTTTCCAATTTTCCCCAACACACAATCTGACCAAGTCGCTGGCGATCCGTAGTACTGAACTTCCTTGGCCTCCCTGTCCCTGACTTGTGCTCAACTCCTGACTGAATATTCTTCAAAGTTCTGTATACTGTAGACAAAGGAATGTCATGTCATGCTTACCAGCTAATGCTTTTGCATTAGTCACACCCCTTTCAAAATCAACAGCTTTCTTTTCTCTTCGGCTGTCAAATCTGCCATGTCAACAAGGGAAGTCATCTGCTAGACCATGGGAGATAACTCTTGATGTAGTAAGGTTCATTCTTAAGCCTACAAGATTTGCCTCCCATATTGAGTACTACATAATGTAACACCTACTTTAAAATTCTATTATCGGTATTAGGAAAGTAAGGTTTTCTAAATATTTTCTGGGAAAACTGTATACCATGTATTGAGTTTCATGATCATATCAAGTGGTGGTGGGGTAGCCTAGTTGTTAAAGTGTTCACTCATCATGCCGAAGACCCGGGATCGATTCCACACATGGGTACAATGTGTGAAGCCCATTTCTGGTGTTCCCAGCCGTGATATTGCTGGAATATTGCTAAAAGCAGCATAAAGCCAAACCCATTCATTCACTCACTCATGTTCATATCAGGTTTTTCCCCTTTGGGGGGTCTCTTTTGTCACTGTTTAGTTTATTAACCTGCACAAATTCTTACTTTATGAGTGTAATGAGGTTAATAAACTTGGCCTAACATTAATCATCTTGCTTCTTTTTATTCCACCACTTCTACCTAGCAAGGAGTGAGTGAGTGTAGTTTTATGCCGCACTGAGCAATTTTCCAGCTATATGGCAGCAGTATGTAAATAATCAAGTCTGGACCAGACAATCCAGTGATGAATAGCACGAGCATCGATCTATGCAATTGGGATACGATGACATGTGTCAACCATGTTAGTGAGACTAAAACTAAACTCACTCACTCCTTTTTGAATTTGAAATCGCCAGTGGTAGTGTTTGTCATAGAGTCTAAAATTGAGCTACCAACAAAACATGCATCATCTGCATTCACAGTTGCACTCTGTTTGCAATGTTTCTGAGGCCAGGATCTTGTTTGAATGGGTCTCTGTCTTGAAGGAAACTGAGTAATTTCATGCCCACATTCTTGTCTCTCTCCTGTCTTGCATTGGACATGTCCTTGTGTAGTTCAGAGTTTCTGTTTCCACTACTTGTAAGATCACTCATGGCATTGCTGACTTCCATGCATGATGGCATTGACATAAGCCTCTGCGTTTCAGACATGACTGTCCCCCTTGTAAGTCCTCCATTTGTCTTAATGCTCCTCATGAACCCCTGTTCAATCACAAGATCTGTTGAAAGTCCTCCCCAATAGGGATCGGAACGGCGTATAACATGATGACCTGAGTTGAAGAGTTTTAAGGTCTTGGGATGTGTCCCTTGCAGGAAGTCATCAACTGAACGTACAACTGAACTGATTTGGTATACAAGTTATGACAATAGACTTTAGGTGCATCTTCCAATTTCCTAATGTTTCAGCTTTAATGAAATTCCGCAAGATATCTACATGTACCATGTTCATATACTGGATCCAAAGTTTTGCTGTCCTCATATTGCTTAGTGCATCTTTTTCTGGGTTTAACTGATGGTGAATGTTCTTTATGTGTTTGAAGAAGATACTTCACCAACAGTCTAGGATTCCCTTATCAGCTATCGTACAGCACTTCTGCCATGTTGAGATCCTCATCATCACTGTTTTGAAGGGGAGTGGCAAGGTCAGCTTCATCAGAAGGCTTACAAAACCTAGGAAGGTTCACGTTAAAAGCTCTTGATACCAACAGTGCACTGAGAGCTGTGGCTACAGGATAGTGAGCTCGAATTGTTCTGGCAACAGCTTTCCCTGTTAGTATGTAACTAATTGTGTTACTGGCATATATCACTATTAGAAGTTCAAATAGACCCTATCCAGACATGATATTTCGAATCCATCCCAAAAGGCAGTGTTCTTCAAATCCCTTGATGAAGGCTCACTGGAAATTTTCATTCAAGCTTTCTGCCAGAGAGGCTGATCAAAAGTGACGATTGGTGTGACATTGTTTTCCATGGCTTCTGTGGTGACAAGTCACTTGGGCTCATGTCAATCATTGGCAGGACGACAAATGTTAGTCAATTAACATTTAAAGACCCTCAGCTGCATTTTTAAATGTTTGTTTTTATTTTTAAAGATATAAAAGTACAATGTTTTAAAATTAATAAAACATTGTTTTTAGCAGATATTATTTTTACATAATCGTAGCATACACATACATGTAGATGTCTGAAACGATCTGAACGTTTTTTTTAAAATAAAACAAATATGATAAGGCTAATACCTATTAAACCATATATCTTTGAAAAGCCTGTAAACAGAGCTTTTATTTGATATATAACATGACACAATTGAGTAGATTACAAAAACGTTTGCATTTCCATCTAAGATTTCGAAAGCGAAGATGACCCCTATGACCTTTAGGGTTGAATTTGACCTTGTTCCACCACTGAGATTTTCCTAGATTTTTATATGTCATAAAGGAATGGTTCAGGGTCTTAAAACAGTTGATATCATTTCTGTTGCAATTTGTGGTGGGTTAGGTTAGAATCTTACCAGAATGACTGGACTATGTTATGAGTCAGATAAGGAACAAACTTTATGGATGAACAACTTCTTTATTCGGAAGATGCGACGTTTCGCTTCAGATTCTTGTATCGATGTCAAGCAGGTATGACAACGCAAGTATGAACATACGACACAAGAATGCTCTTGGACTGTTGTAACTCCTATATGTTAACATACACTTACAAAAGTCGCTGCTCTTGGACTGTTGTAACTCCTATATGTTAACATACACTTACAAAAGTCACTGCTCTTGGACTGTTGTAACTCCTATATGTTAACATACACTTACAAAAGTCGCTGCTCTTGGACTGCTGTAACTCCCATACATTAACATACACTTACGACAGTCGTAGCACTAGGACTGTTGTAACTCCCATACATTAACATACACTTACGACAGTCGTAGCGCTTAGGACTGCTGTAACTCCAATATGTTAACATACACTTAGGACAGTCGAACGCTTAGGACCCATACATTAACATACACTTACAAAAGTCGTAGCTCTTTGACTGTTGTAACTCCCATATGTTAACATACATCTATGACAGTCGTAGCACTATGGTCGTTTTGTGAAAGGGGACTCTGGTACTTCTTGATACAGGATACTGAAGTGAGATATGCAGGTAGATTCAGAAAACTTACCTGGAAGAAGAAGTCGACACAAAGTGCCACTTCGACACTGCCGATCCAGTCTCGAGATCCCAGGAATGCTGGGCCCTTGTCCTCCATGGTCACCAGAGCCTTCTGGATGTCTGGAATGGATGGCACAGGATGCGACACGGCTGCTCCAGTCTGCATCTGCTGTCTGCTTACCCAGGAGCACATCGTCTGCAGGGTCCTGTAGCCACAGCCCCACCCCTGTATAACAGGTGGTTAATGAATTAGTGACAAGTAACTGTATCCTAGTTTGTCTCAAAGTCCCTGAACCACATTATTTTCCCAACTGCCTAGCCTTTCCTGCAGTGCTAAAGCCCTAATTTATAAATGAAGCAAGTCTAGATTCCCTCCATGAACCACATTATTTTACAGCCTAAGCTAAGTCTAGATTCCCTCCATGAACCACATTATTTTCCCTACAGCCTAGCCCTCCCTGCAATGCTAAAGCCCTAAATGAAGCAAGTCTAGATTCCCTCCATGAACCACATTATTTTCCCTATAGCCTAGCCCTCCCTGCAATGTTAAAGCCCTAATTGAAGCAAGTCTAGATTCGCTCCATGAACCACATTATTTTCCCTACAGCCTAGCCCTCCCTGCAATGCTAAAACCCTAAATGAAGCAAGTCTAGATTCCCTCCATGAACCACATTATTTTCCCTACAGCCTAGCCCTCCCTGCAATGCTAAAGCCCTAAATGAAGCAAGTCTAGATCCCCCAGGTTCTGAATTTTCCATCTGACTGGGGATCCTTTTCAATTTAAATGGGTTTATTTGTTACTATCAAAATTATTATAAGAGTAATGCTATTTTTGAGGGCATTATCGTTTGCAGAAGCCTGAGGTCTTCCATTAACTGCCCGACGAAGGTTAATGTTTACTAAAAGTTAAGTTTACTCAAAACCAACTTCTGACAGAGTTGACTGCCCGAATGCAATTACGTCATCGAACAATTCAAGTGACGTCACAACAGAACGTGACGATATTCGAGCTGGGCTTTTGACAAGACCATAGCCTGCAACATGTCAAACTATATCAGTGTACGGTTTTGGTCCAATAACAACGTTAATAGTGTAATTGTTAAGGTCAGCACCAGCAAGAAAGCCAACATTACCGCTTTTTAAAGCAGATATTTGGGTTGCTTTGACTTGTTTGCCCCAGAATATCTGCCAGTCCAAAGCCAATGTCGAATGAACCGTAAGCCCACGCACCCACTATGACATCACTTGACAACAGAACTGATAGTGGCCCGTCGTTAAGGTTAAGCGGTCCAATATCATTTGCTCCGGCTCGCAAATTTCTGATAATAGGTCAGGCCGTTTCATGATAATTCCATGTATTTGAGCTATAAATATATTCAGAGAATAAACGTTAGTCTTACTGTGTCCCTCAAAACTCAAATAATAATAGGAACAGGTAAATGCACAAAATATATCTTTGTATTTAGAAATTGGTAGGGTAATTATAATGAAAAGGAAAGAGGCAAGGCTCTAAATAACAATTGCTTTAATCAATCATAATTTAGCTCATGAAATGACATCTATCAAGTTCCAAGATTAATAATTAAAAGTACACAAATTCTTAATGTGGCATTCTGAATTCAAAAGGACACTCAGATGTATTATGGTTAATTGTTACTATAGAACACATTGCGTGACAGATTAGCGACATCGCCAAAATAGCAGGGTAAATGTTTGCTGTGGTACATTCTGTGCTACAGTTTAAGGACATCCTTCTGACTTACTCTGTCATCTAACCCATCACAGCCATAGTGATAATAGTCGTAGTCACCAGTAACCATGGCAACATCACTCCCTGGGGAAGCAATTCCTTCATGAATATTCATCTGTAAATCTGTCATGTTGATAATATGGCACTTCAGCTGAAACATGAAAAAGTGATTGCTTGAGTTGGATTTTACACTGCTTTTTGCAATATTAATGCAATATCATAGCAGGGACATCTGAAATAGTCTTCACACAATGTACCCATGTGGGGAATTGAGCAAGGGCCTATGGTGTGACGAACGAACGCTTTAACCACTAGGCTGCCCCACCGCCCCTACAGAGAGTACCTCACTGCCAGAAACATGAAAGAGAACCTGGAATACCACATGCAGGCACACAACATACTATAATTACAACAATAATCCAGCTGTGTTAAGGATTCTAAATGATCAAATATGGGCTGGTAAAAAGCATTGATTGATAATATGAACAATAACCCAGTCATGAGGATACTGTGTGTTGTAATATCATTTTATAATTAACATTCTGTTTCCGCTTCATTTTTATTTCACCTACAGTCCATTTTAGTAATTGATCAATTCCTAATTTTTGTATCAACCCCACATAGCACAGAAAGTAAACAGTAGCTGAAACACAGCCAACTTGTCTGTCATTCATTGACCCCATATATGGCGTAACAGACATCATGACAAAGTGACATACAATCAACCAAGTTACACAATCAATACCCAATCATTTAGCATTTAGCTCTTTTGGGGGTTATGGGTATTTTAGAAACTCTAAGACAAACAGATCTGAGATATCTTAATATATATGATTACCTCTCTGTCACAGCAACATAACAACCCTTGTTCCTGGGAGTAATGCAGCTCATTCAAATATTTAGTCAGAGTGAGTGAGTATGTCTGGGTTTCACACAGCTTTAAGCAAATTATTCCAGTCATATTATTGTGGGGGACACAAGAAATGGGTTTCACACATTGTACCCATGTGGGTAATCGAACCTGGGCCTTCTGCCTGACAAGCGAACACCTAAGCACTAGGCTACCCCACCACCCCTAAGTCAGATTTGTTGCTCAGGTTGTACTACAACCACCACTGCTAACAATAATTTTCCAACACAAATTATAGCACAACAAATGCAATAGAAACAGTAGTTGACATATGATATACAGTCAAACACTCTAGCTTGTGGGCATCTGAAAGTGCTGATGAAAATAAGTTTTCCAAGTTTTGACACAAACACAAAGCCATGGCTGAAGAAGGAATATGCAGGGATCAAGCATTTACTGTAGGACAGCCCTACCTTTGACACATTAAAGTTCGGAGCAACAGTTTTTGACTGTAGTATCACTTCATATTTCAAGCCAAATAATATCAGTAACCAAACCTTATAGTGTATTGTGGCAGAATGGTGTATTCATGTTAATATGGCATATGGCATTTTACTGGGCAAACGCTATTAAACCAGAAATAGTGCGGTCTGGTACCAGCAGCCAAAACATGCAGTACATCATCATACAAGTGCAATATTTGTTAATTCAATTTTACCTCACCTCTTTATGTGATATGCTATGAGATCTTTTAGCAACGACAAAGGGGCATATGCTGTGTTGGCTTATCCATTCAACAAAGGGCGGGTAACTCTCAATCTAGACGTCACCTGCCCTCCAAGATGGCGGCGTCCACCGATCACGAAAAGATTTCGAGAAATGATGAAATCGATGATCTCTTTCACGATGTTATCATGTCCGAAGAAAAGTAAGGCTTTGTGTTTATGTGAATTCTTTAAAAAATTAAAACGTCGACTGATCACAGCAATAATGCCATTCGAAATTACAACATAGCCATAGTGTTCGACACACACAGGGGCTTAAAACTGCCATCAACTTCAAGTTCTCTACCGTCACTGACGAGGTCTTAGTGCTCAACACACAGCCAACTGCTTTTCATTGATATTTACGATGGACGGATGATGAGATATGGTATTTGGGTGAAATGATGCTTGTAGTTCGAAATGTAGAGGAAATATGTGTACACATGTTCTATGAGTGGCATTTTAGAGTGAGTGAGTTTAGTTTTACTCCGCAATATTCCTGCAATATCACGGCGGGCGACACCAGAAATTGGCTTCACACATTCTACCCATGTGGAGAATCGAACCCAGGTCTTCAGCGTGACAAGTAAACTCTTGGCCCACCGCCACGACATTTCAGAAGCAACATATGGGTCATGTCTTAAAATCATGGTTCTTGGTTAAGGTTAACCTACCAAACCCTAATTACAACGATTACTGTGAAGCTGATCCCACAGCTGCCAAACTGAGCAATCACCACTCTAAAACTGCAACCTGGTAAACTGCATTCTTGCGATTCACTTTTAAAAGGTGATATACAGTAAAATCTGAAATGAAGTCTTTTTAAAGCTCATAAAAACAAGTATCTTGATGAAGAGATTTTTTTCTATAGTCCACATTTGTAGACATGGATGTTTAGAAACAACTCATGCTCCTGAAACTACCAGGAGTTTATGAACAGAGGTGTCATCACATGATCTGGACTTCATAGTAGAGTGAGTGAGTTTAGTTTTACTCCGTTATAGCAATATTCCAGCAATATCAAGGTGGGGGACAACAGAAATTGGCTTCATGCATTGTACCAATGTGGGGAATCGAACCGTGTCTTTGACGTGTAAAGCAAATGCTTTAACCACTAGGCTACCACACCACCCCTCATAGTAGAGAGAGAGACACACACAGACACAAGCGAAGAAAGAAATGAACAGAAAAATTATTTAAACACAAATAAATTAAATAAATCTGACAATGTTGCATTTAAATATACATGTCACACCATTTTATATCAAAAATATATACCCCATTGCCCATCCCTATGACAGCTTTTTGTTACACAATAACCCAATTGAACAACCTAGATCCACCTCCGACTGATTAGTAATGGTTGATACTAAATAAAAATAGATTCATGTTTATCCAAAAAAACTGACAAACACCCCAGTCACTTTGAAATTTATGCATGAAAAGTTTCTGAGGAAAAACATGAAGAATATATTTTATATTATCTGTGTGTAACATATCTTTATAAGTTTTTTCAGACAACAATAAAATCACATGATTTTTATGGTGTAAATAGGTATACTTTTTTTGTCATTCAACTTATGTTAAGAAGTTTATATTCAATATGTTTCCTTTACAGTTGATATGTGTGTGGTGATAATGCCTGTGTGTTGGAATGTTTGTCCCCCAGGAGCCAGGTGCAGGGGTTTACTGAAGGGAGAGCTGAAGGGGAGAGGAGGGGACTGGTGGATGGATTCTCTCTCGGATTTGAGAAGGGAGCAGCTATTGGTTCAGAGGTAGGGCTAATTAACTCTGTGATACCACACAAGCTATGACACTAGACTGATCGTGCTGATAGAACTAAGACTACAGGTTTAAATTAATAGTTGTCAGTCATTGAACATGGAGAGCTTGTGTGTTTTCACGGATTGTATTTTGAGTGTTGTTGTTTAGTCCACATTTCAGCTTCATGTTTGCACCCAACATCCAAAGGAAGGCCTAGCATGACTGGGGGAAGAGTTTGTAAATGGGATGCCAGTCAAAACATGGATTCCAATAATCCAGTCTTCTTCTTCCCATCTAACACGGCTCAGGGCTAACTGCTCTATCTCCTTTCAGGTCTTTCCTATCAGCTTTGCTTCTGCCTCTGTGTCTCAGGTGATGCTTGATGGTGGCTTCTGGGTTTTTCCGATCCAGCTCAGTTTCCCCTTCAGCATTTCCCTTCCATTTGCCCTGCTCTTCGCCATAGCTCCTCATTGCTGATCTTCTCAGGCCATCAGATGTTAATGATGCGCCTGAGACATGTGTTGATGAATAATTCAGTCAAGATGACAAACATTCCTTCATTTGTTCACAAATCCTTCTTCTTCAAGTCTTAGAACATATGTCTTACGTATAAGCACTCTGCCATTCTTTTTAGTTATTGTCTGTTCCAAAACATATATTGATGCATTTTGATAACCATAGGAGCAAAATTGACCCCAACAGCAGTTTTATTGGATTTTTTTTTAACGTAAAATATCCTTATTTAATATACTGCACTGCAATATTCTAGCGTGTATGTAATCAAGTGTGGACCAGACAATCAAGTGATGGATATGAGCAATGTAAGAATGTAATGGCATGCAATCAACCAAACCTACCCTCTTGTAATGGCCTCTTGTAATGGTCTCTTGTAATGGTTGACAAATGGAAGGATAACCATATTTTACCCCATTGCTATTGATGGATAATGCAGAAAGCTGTTGCATTATTCAACAATGCATTTAGCAATATACATGTTTAGTCACCAGTCTACTTGGGATATTGGTGACCTAGTTGTCTAAGGCACCACTGTGTTGTGCAGAATTGATTCATCCCTTGAACATGCCCGAATATATGATTATGGGTTTGAATCCTGGTTCTTCTTGATTATCTTCCGAGGTTGGTCTGCACCATACCCATGTTTACTAGTAGCACCAAAGTGGTAAATCTCTGAGACCTACAACACTTTGGGCTTTCCTTCCACACTAAGCTCACCAGTCAAGCTAACTCACTCACTCACCATTTTTATGAAACTCAAAGTTTTGAAACAATGATTGTTACCTGCACTCAGGCTGGTACCTGGCAAGTGTATGATATGGACAGTGTGTTAAGAAATAACTACGAATCAGCAATGTTTCAACACTGTAGCAAATGGACAAGTTATAAATACACACATAGGAGCTATACACTCACTCACTCAGCCATATTCAGGATAACTATTTCAGTGTGCAAGAAACTGAATGGAATATGAGGACAGGGCTGTAGTGGGGCTGATAACACATGAATACACACCGTTATACACTCGCTCGGCCATAATCAGGATAACTATTTCAGTGTGCAAGAAACTGAATGGAATATGAGGACAGGGCTGTAGTGGGGCTGATAACACATGAATACACACAGTTATACACTCACTCGGCCATAATCAGGATAACTATTTCAATGTGCAAGAAACTGAATGGAATATGAGGACAGGGCTGTAGTGGGGCAGATAACACATGAATACACACAGTTATACACTCACTCGGCCATAATCAGGATAACTATTTCAGTGTGCAAGAAACTGAATGGAATATGAGGACAGGGCTGTAGTGGGGCTGATAACACATAAATACACACAGTTATACACTCACTCGGCCATAATCAGGATAACTATTTCAGTGTGCAAGAAACTGAATGGAATATGAGGACAGGGCTGTAGTGGGGCTGATAACTCTGCTATTTGGGAATGTGATATAATCAGCTGTTCATGTTGATTCCCTGGATTGTGAAATGTAATACAGTATTCAATTTGTGTCTCTCTTGGTATTTGTTTACTGGTAACCTTTTCACAATGTATCCATCTTGACAATTCATGTTTTGTCAGTTTCATAAATATAGTATACTATATATAAACTCCAGTCATGTTGGTCTTGAAACTTTTCTCTTTGTGTCTCCAGGTAGGGTTTTACCAGGGCTACGTTGAGACATTACAGGAACTGAGTACACGAGAAGGGGAGGCCAAGCCACGGTGAGTTTAATGTTAAGATCCAAGGTCCACATGCACGGTCCAAGGTGACACTACTTATGTGATGATCCTCATGATTATATAGTGGACCCAGGTCCAGGTTACGTCATCTCGTTGATGCAGCCAGGTATTGATAACACAGGACTGGACCCCAGGTCCAGGTTAGGTCATCTAGTTGATGCAGCCAGGTATTGATAACACAGGACAGGACCCACGATCCCGGTTTAGCTAGCTGAGTTGTGTGTATCAGGGTCATGGTATTTTAGTACATGGGGCATGACTACTGACAATTTGAGACATGGTAGATTGTTTCAACATGCTCAAGGGCTCCACTTTAGAGATGATCACATTTGATAGCAAACACTGACACAGGTAGGGCTCACCACTCACACAGGTGTAAATTACTCAGAACAGGACCAAGATCCAGGTTTGGTTTGCTTGGTGATGTGTCAGGGCCATGGAGTTTTAGTATGTGTGACCATGGTTTCATATAGCTAAAATATCGCCCCATGAAAACCATCCTCACACACACTGACCCATTCAACAAGATACCCCACTGTTTTTGTGAACAAAGAATCCCATATTGTTCGCCTTTCACACAAAGTAGATTGGACACACTTGACAAGCACCTCTGTCCAAGAGAGACTATATGGATGGTGCATGAGTGAGCGAGTGAGTTTAGTTTTACGCCTCACTCAACAATATCCCAGCTGTATGGCGGCAGTCTGTAAATGATCGAGTCTGGACCAGTCAATCCAGTGATCAACAGCATGAGCATCGATCTGCGCAATTGGGAACCGATGACATGTGTCAACCAAGTCAGCAAGCCTGACCACCCGATCCCGAGGTGGTCCATGAAGGTCGTTGCATTGTTGGTTTGTTTTTTGGGGTTTTTTTTTTTGGGGTGTGTATTTTTGCAACCATTACAGATGAGATCTGTGAATTTAGTTTTTGGGAAAGGTGAATATTATGCCATTATGTGGCCTCTGCGACACTGGAATACTGTGGATTGTGTGAGACTGGTTTTTCGTTTGGCAATATTCTAGCCACATGAAGCCATGGGATACTGTGGCTCCACAAACCCATAAATCCATTGGATACTTTGGCTTTGTGGGCCAAAAATGTATGGGATACTGTGGTTCCATAAATGACCCAAGCAAAACCATCACTGACATCTTTCCATTATTCACCAGGGTTCAGAAGTCTCTGCAGGCCCTGGCGGCCTTGTTGTCCCAGTTCCCTGTGGCAGATGTGATGAACCAGACTCTGTTTGACGACCTTGAGAAGATACGTGCCAAGTTCAAACAGGTAGAGACAAAGAGGGGCTTTTATCAGAGGATATTCCTTTCTACAGTTGGTTAAAAATGTAAAATGTCAATGGAATAGCAAAATCAGTCTCAATCATATGCAGACTGACTGACTGACTGAGTTTAGTTTTACGCCGCTTTTAGCAATATTCCAGCAATATCACGGTGGGGGACACCAGAAATGGGCTTCACACATTGTGCCCATGTGGGGAATCGAACCCGGGTCTTTGGCGTGATGAGCCAACGCTTTAACCACTAGGCTACCCCACCGCCCCATCATATGCAGAACATAGTAGGGTGTCATAGTTAAAATTACAGTCAAATCCCGATGAGTCGAATCGCTGGGGACCAAGTAATAAATTCGACTTATCCATGTATTCGAGACATAAGTTTGTCTATGAGGGTAGAAGAAAAGATGATCCAGTCCTAATTCCTCCGCCTAAGCATTTGTTTATCTAATGATTTCCCTATCACTAATAGGGGCACCTTATCAGTTCCAGTCTGATTAGCACAGACAGTGATTTCCGTAAAATCACTAATCTGCCTTTTGAACTCACCCGTCAATGGCGGAAAGGTGTGAGCTGCGCTGGTTTGTTAATTGGATCAGTTTGCTACACCAATCAACTTCTCATTGAATGACTTCGGCTTATGTATACAAGATTGCTGTTGTTTGAATCTCATGGGACCAACTTTCCTTTTCGAGTCATCGTGTGTATTTATGAGACGAATTCGTGTAACCGGTATTCAAATGATGACAACTATAACAGGGAATGGTCGGGACCGACGGGTACTTCGAGTTATGCATAATATTCGAGACACCGGCATTCGACTCATCGGGATTTGACTGTATGTGAATTCATCACTAAACTTTATTGATGACACCAGGGTTTAATGCTGCTTTGAACTGTATTTGAGTTATGTCATGGCATGTCAGATTAATGGGAGGGGAAAGACAGAAGTGAGTGTGTGCGTGAGTTTAGTTTTATGCCGGTTTTAGCAATATTCCAGCAATATCATGGTGGGGGACCCCAGATATGGGCTTCAGACATTTTACTCATGTGGGGAATTGAACCTGGATCTTAAGTGTGACGAGCGAACACTTTAACCACTACGCTACCCCACCGCCTGAAGTGATGTGGGTAACAGACATTTACCATATTGGAAAAATACTTCAGTATGGATATGGTGCTTACAAATCCAGAGACATAATTGGGGCAAAGAGGGATTCAGACTTACAATCATGACTTGAGTCACCTAAGGTGATGGACCCGTGAAGGTCCAGGTTAGAATATTGGCCTTCAGTAGCCCATGCTTGTCGTAAAAACCGACTAACGGGATCGGGTGGTCAGGCTCGCTGACTTGGTTGACACATGTCATCGGTTCCCAATTGTGTAGATCGATGCTCATGTTGTTGATCACTGGATTGTCTGGTCCAGACTCGATTATTTACAGACCGCCGCCATATAGCTGGAATATTGCTGAGTGTGGTGTAAAACTAAACTCACTCACTCAACTAAGATGATGAGGGCACCTAAGCCGTCGTTTAGTGTTGACGCATGTGAAAGTTGTGGCCTACATGACATACAAATGTAGCTCATATAGGTATGTAGGATATGCATGTCACCAGTTCAAGATATAGTTTCCCTAAGTTTTGATCAGATGCCTGTGACATTTCTTCAGTGTTTTTGCTACTTCAACATGCATGTATAAAGGTCTGCTTGACAAGGGTTCTGAAATAAATGTCATTAAAACTTCCAAACAGGACATTGTCCTAATATCTTTCATATTAACTAATATCTCTGTTTTTAATGTTTATGGTTTTGTTGAGGTAGCTTGTAAATTTACTGATAATAGGACATATAACAGGGAAGAGCTTTTAATGTTTAGTTTTGTTTTACTGCATTTTGAATGCGCTATGTGCAGTGTTAGAATGCATGTTAGGAAAATATATGCTTTAAAAAATCCCAATTATGAACAATATAACAATTTTTTATACATTTCTTAGAATCCTAAAATGCTGACATTATTTATGTTGAAAAGATATTTTGAGATTGTTCATGTATCTGTTAAATACTTTGTGTTACCAGGTAACCTCCTTACTGGGAATCAGCATGTCATATGGGTCTGAAAACAAGAGCCAGGGCATGTCTTTCTGAGAGACACCTTGCAGGGACGTTACCTGGGCATTGTCAGACTACAGTCTAGACCGCTGATGCGTCACACTCAACACTATACAAGACCCATGAAGATCCAGATTAGAATTGGCCTTCAGCAACCCAGCAGCTAATGGGATCGTGTGGTCAGGCTACACTGCCAGTTACGTATATGGATGCTCATGATAATGATCACAGGATTGTCTGGACCAGGCTTTAAAAATTACAGAACACTCCCATATACTATACACAATAACAAACAAACATGTACAAGGTTTAGAATGGCAGCCTGTAAGTGATCAAGTCTGGACCAAACAAACTAGTCATTGATAGTATGAGGAACGTCATGAGCTGTTTGGGTAGAATGACATGAGATGAAGCGAGTCACTGAGTCTGAAAACCTGATCCATTTAATCGAATCTTATGGCAAGCACAGACCACTATAGTCCGTTTGGCTCAAAAGCGGACGGATGAATTGCAATCTAACTCGAAAACTAATAAACATAAAATACTCAATGAAACGCTGATCATAATTAAAACATCATACCCACTCTGTGAGGTTTTTGCAGAATTTTTGTCCTAAAAATAATAAAGTTGTTTAACAATCTATCATTAAAATATTGACACAGTTGACTGTTTGTTACGAGGGAGGAGTACAGAGAAAGGGACAGCCAGGTGTTAGAGAAGCACGTTAATGATTATCACGTGCAAAGTGCCGACAAAGCTATTAATTCATTAACCTGTGCTGTGCAGTCTCCATCCTTTCTCAAACACCTGGCTGTCCCTTTCTCCCAATTGCGCAGATGGATGTTCATGCTCCTGATCACTGGATTGTGTGGACCAGACTTGATTATTTGCAGATAGCTGGAATATTGCTGAGTGTGGCATTAATCATAGGGTTCCAACAGGACCTGGAAACTTCACCCCCCATTTTCCAGTTTTGGAAAAATCATGGAATTTGAAAAAAAATGGATAAAATTATGGAAAAATCATGGAATATTCTTGTTTTTTTTCTTTAAATGAAGACACACTTTGTTCATCGTCAGGGGAATTAGCTCAAATGGTAGAGCGTTCGCTTAGCATGCGAGAGGTACACACACACCTACACCAGTTCAGCTGATTTTCAAGAATACATTTAATGAAGACATACCAGCGTAATTGTCAGGGGAATTAGCTCAAATGGTAGAGCGCTCGCTTAGCATGCGAGAGGTACCGGGATCGATACCCGGATTCTCCAGTTCTTTTTGCACTTTATAGTTTTGTGAAATAGTCATGAATGTCATGAACAGGGGGACTAGCACACATGACAGAACGCCCCTAATTATAACGTAAACATTCCCTCTGGATTATGGTAGCCTTATTCCTGTGGATTCACAGAATACATACAGAAAATCAAAATACATTTTGACACTAAGTCATAGCTATTCCTAGTGGTATACCTAATCTACCCCTGAGTTATCTCCCTTGATCTTGACGTCACTGTATTGTTCTCCTAGAACCCTTCATATAATGACGTGCAGAGAAATAAGTGAAATTTTCATTTCAAATCAAGTCTTCAATTCTTCATATATAGGTCAGTTACAAATCGCATTTCATTCAATATTTCATCGCATTGCTGTTTTGCATCTATATTATATATATTTCCAACGTACTTAGGGTCTGAAGTTTTCACGCCCTTTTTGATTGACAAGTATGGTGCAGAGCAAATGTTTACAATGTCAGGAATTCAAGGCGGATGTTGATCCCCACTCTCTGTGTGCTTCCTGTTATAAAGACTTACCTTGCTCAATATGGGATCGATGCTTATTGTGTCAGGAAATGTCGGAAGAAGATTGGTTGTTGATGGACAAATCTCGCTCCTTAGTTAGGAAGCGTAAACTTTCATCGTCATCAGAATGCTCTAAGTCGAAGAAAGTTCAGGGATCTCCGCCTTTATCTATAAATTTGAACCGAAGTCTCGTTCTGGATCTAAATCAAAAACCTCTCCCCAGTTGGATATATCTGCGTTCTCAGAACTTTTGGCGGGATTTAAATCCGATATCCAGGCGGCCATTGATAAATCTGTACGTGATATGGAGATGAGGAATGACGAAAAATTTGATCGCCTGTCCAAACATTTGGAAGATTCTGTATTACCCGGCAAGATGGCAGACAGCCGTAGGGGCTTCGTGGTCGATGGCAAGAACCGGGAACCCTACGGAAACCAGGGGTGCTCTGACTGAAAAAAAGCGGTCATCACGCCTTTGCGTACGTAGGAGGCCGGTCCCCTCAGGGGAGAAGCCTAGGGCTTCAAGCGACGGAAACCAGGGGTGCTCTGACTGGAAAAAGCGGTTATCATGCCCTGGCGTAAGTAGGAGGCCGGTCCCCTCAGGGGGAAAAGCCTAGGGCTTCAAGCGACGGGGATGGAGTTGGCCCAACCGGCTCCTGATCCGGGGTGACCGGGGCTCAGGCCACACACCCCGCATCCTTTGGCCCCGGAGAGCCAGTCATCCGTGGCTGCTCCCTGTCGCATACAGCCTGCTATCCTTCCCCACGGTGGGACGGCCGCAGGACTGTCACGGACTGGATACTGTGCCGAGTGCACAGGATCCCTGTTCCGGCTTGACATGCCACAGGGTCGGCGGCTATTAAGAATGGGCTTGTCAACCCAGCAACCGAGAGCCACGGGCCATCTTTTCCATGATGGGACTAGGCAGCAGGACTTTCACGGGCTGGATACCGTGCCGAGAGCACGGGATTCCCGTCCCGGATTGAGCCATGATATCGGATAGGCGGCTATTGACAACGGCTTGTCAGCCCAGCAACCCGACAGCCTCGGGCCTAGCGGTTTGATCAGAGCATACGGCCACAGAACTGCAGGCGTATACTGACACGGATAATCCGTCCTTGAACCCGTTGGTGTCTGACTTGGCCGATCTGGTTGCTTCATCGGTATATCCCTTCTCACAACCGGAGTTCACTATGTGAGAGGGTTTGCTGACAGTACTAACTATGGATGCTTTCGGAAGAGGATTTCTCGCCGGGTTGAATTTTTATGGAGAAGTTGGAACTATTATGTGGTCTTTATCCCAATATCCTTCCACCTCCGTTTTGAGGATCAGGGAATTGACATACCCGCGAAGTTGGGTTGCTGATTACTGCCAGAAGGGATACCCAAGCTGTCCTTGTCGCATTCTTCATTACTTAAGAAACCATTGGAGTATTATAACTTAGGCCTCTCCAAGGCCACGACATGGGATAACCTGCCCAGGTCTACACCATTCACGATAGATTTATCACGGCCAGTCTACCTAACTTGGATAAGGATTTTGCCCTCTTACAAGAAGTTAACGGCTTCCGGGAGCAAACACTTCCGTGTACAATAGCGAATCAAGGAGTTAGATATGGCTGCTCGGACATCCATTGGTATGTTATCCTATTCTTGCTGGTTTGCCGCGGGTCTACGGGCTTTGCTCCTCCAGTTTTCCAAGTTTACTCCGGGTTATAAAGGACACAGCTCAAGAGGGGCGTTGGCGCATTTTTTACCTGGACATGGTTTATCTATCTCTAACGGATGCTATGGCCAATCAAGAGAATATTTTACGTCGTCTCACTTCCTTTGAACGGATTCAGAGACTGGATTCATTAAGGAATAAAAATAGAAACATAGTCTAGATGTCTATATTCGTAGGCAGCTGGGATACTCTATAGTTTATTCACGGGTAGACGAGTATCAATCATGCATGGAGTGAGCGAGTTAAGTTTTACGCATCACTGAGCAATATTCCAGCCTTATGACGGGGCCTATAATTTATGGACTTGGGATCACATAAGCCAGTGATCAACAACATGAGTATCGATCTACGCAGTTGGGATATGGTGTCATATTGGGTTAACCAAGTCAGCAACCTGACCTCCCGATTTCATTAGTTACCTTTTACGACAAGCAGAAGGGACTCATAAGCCATCTCTTCCCCATTCATCACTTATAAACGGAATTTGAATTTCTCAACTTTTGTTAGATATCTACCGTATACGGGACTGGCGTAAGTGAGTCAGGGAGTTGTCGATTTTTTCTCCACTCGTCAATCTGTTACACTTGCTGTTGTATAAGGAAGTTATAGTTTTTCGTCATCTGAGCCCAGTTCTTCGCCTACTACTTTAGTTATTCATTAGTTGCATTGAAATCTACCTACGCCCACGGATTCAAATCAACCTGGTACAGGTGTTTTAAGTACTCTGTATCACATACAAGAGTCAAAACGGCATAGCACCAGAATAGCTAGGTGATCTGTTAATTCCCTTCAACCAGACAACTGCAATCTGTAAGCAAGTCTTATTGAATACTTTTTTATGTAGACTGCCATGGCTTCTTTTGGTAGTGCACCATTTTAGTAGCATGATCTGCCCATCGCTGTAAAACTGCATCCATGGTTGATTTCATTCTTTCACTGCACTATTAACTCAAACATTTCTTTATAGTACGTGTTTCAGCATTCACTTTGTGGTTGGATTTTGCGATAATTATCAGTATTATCATCATTATTATCATTACTGAATTAGGATTACCACGGCTATTTCGAGACTAGCTACGGTTTAAATTAATCTGCTGCTTCACTTCAAATTTGTTACATGTTCAAATGACATTCTACGCACACACATACACTGACTCCCAAACCTGAAAGCATGTTTTCTCAAAGCTGAAGCAACACATCTGTTACTGTCAGGACAATCAAAGTCGGCTGTCATGGCGCCAAAGCGGTTCAGCTGATTGTCAAGAATACAGTTCATGAAGACACACCAAGGTTATCGTCAGGGGAATTAGCTCAAATGGTAGAGCGCTCGCTTAGCATGCGAGAGGTACCGGGATCGATACCCGGATTCTCCAGTTCTTTTTGCACTTATAGTCTTGTTATTTGTCTCTTTATGAATGTCATGAACAGGGGGACTAGCACACATGACAGAACGCCCCTTTTGCATACGGGAGGCGCTCGCACTGATACCCGGATTGGGCAAAAGAAATTCACTTTCTTTGGGGCTCAAATATGAACATTGCATTCAGTTGTCTCAGTCCGGTTCTACCCACTTCACATTTGTTACATGTTCAAATGACATTCTACGCACACACATACACTGACTCCCAAACCTGAAAGCATGTTTTCTCAAAGCTGAAGCAACACATCTGTTACTGTCAGGACAATCAAGGTCGGCTGTCATGGCGCCAAAGCGGTTCAGCTGATTGTCAAGAATACAGTAAATGAAGACACACCAAGGTTATCGTAAGGGGAATTAGCTCAAATGGTAGAGCGCTCGCTTAGCATGCGAGAGGTACCGGGATCGATACCCGGATTCTCCAGTTCTTTTGCACTTTATAGTCTTATTATTTGTCTCTTTATGAATGTCATGAACAGGGGGACTAGCACACATGACAGAACGCCCCTTTTGCATACGGGAGGCGCTCGCACTGATACCCGGATTCGGCAAAAGAAATTCACTTTCTTTGGGGCTCAAATAT